GGCGGGGAGGAGGCTGCGCCCGGGCTGGTCCGCATCCGCGTGGGAGCGCAGCGCTGGGGAGAGCGCGCCGGGGGAGCGGAGCTGCGGCCGGGGGAGCGGAGCTGCGGCCGGGTAGAGGAGCTGCACCCCCCGGAGGAGAGGCTGCGCCCGCGAAGGGGTCCCTGGGCCCAGGAGGAGAGGCTGCGCCCCTGGGGTGAAGCTGCGGCCCCGGTTGGAGACGCCGCGACCCGGGGAGGGCGGTGCGCCCGGGAATAGGCGACTGTGTCCCCAGGACAGGCTGCACCGCGGGGAGGGGACGTTGCGCTCCTGGGAGGGAGCCGGTGCCTCCGGGACCCGCACGCCCGCGTCCCTCCTGGGCGCAGGGTCCGCGCTAGACGCCGTGTGGCGCCGCCGGGCCGGAGGTCCCCGCGGTGCCATCCGGGCGGCGGGCCGGGTGCGGTGACGCGCTCGCGCGGGCTGCAGGAGGATGACTGCGTGGTGGCGGTGCGCGAGGAACGCGTCAGATGGGCCGGGGACGCGGCCGTGCGGGGCCCTTGCCTGGCTAGGAACCTGGCGTGAGTCCGGCGGGGTTTGGCGTGGGAGCCCGCCCCGGCGTCTGGTTGGCGGTCGTGTCTTTGCCAGCAGGTCTTGGTGGTCCCTTCCCATGGAGGCCACCGCTGCGTGCCATTTAGGAAGTGCGACGAAAAGTGGTCCTGATGCCAAACTTGCTTCTGTACTCGTAGCGCCCTAACGTGACAATGGCCCGGCAGTTTTATGTTGGAATGTGCGTGTCACCCTCTCCGATCCCCTGTGCCTTGCTGTGGTGGTGTCCCTGTGGAACGTGCCACCCGAGCTGCAGCTCCACACTCCCGCTATTTAGAGAGCAGTTCGGGGCTGTGGAGAAGCGAGCTGTCTCATATCCCGGCTTTTCTTGGGGCTGAGATGGCTTTACTCTCCTGCTTGCTGCCTTTTCTTGGGGCTGGGATGGCTTTACCCTTCCTGCTTGCTGCGGTTTGCCGGAGGGAAAGGTCAACTGGTACAGCCTCTCCCGGCCTGGGAGAACGAACCGTCCCCGGGTGCAGGGTTGCCGGAGGGCAGGCAGGATCCATGCATGGACACCCACAGCGGGGCTTGATAAATATTGGAGGAGACATGCCAGCCAGCGGGGCACTGTGGTCGCGGTAGGGTGGGGGTGAGCGCAAGCATCTCAAAGGAACGCACTGTCCAGGAGCAGTGTCTGTTGGATGTCAGGGCTCCTGGGAACCAACCAGGTGCGTTCAGCCACCTCCCTGCGGTGGAGTTTGAGGCTCTGGCTGGAAGGAAAAGGCGGCCTTTCTGCAGGGCAGTGGTGGGGAGAGTAGGCATCGCTGAGAGACCGATGACACATGTGTCTCTGCCATCTGCTCGTGAGGCCCAGGCGGGAGGATCAGCTGCCAAGCGATAGCCCTGTCCGCCTAGCACACCCTGGCTTCCTGGCAGTTCACTTCTCATGCACGGACATGTGCATTTCGTGTGCATGTGAAGCACCTGGACTGTGTTGAGCTTTTTGGAAGAGGAAAATGCTTTAAACTTACCTTTGCCAGTGAATAGGCTGAGGCTGGCCGGACTTACTTGATGAGGACCGCTCTTTGGCTTGTCATGTGCTGGGCCCTTCCGTGGGATGCAGTGCCCAATGTGCAGGCTTCAAAACACTACTGGCAGTTTGTTTTTTTCGTCACCTTGTGGCATTCAATTTTTAAAAGAAAAATCCAACTTTAGTTATCAAAATTATAAAAAGTTTGCTTATAGACTTAAAAAAATGAGCAGGCACAAAGTGTGTTCAAAAAGGGCACAAACACGGACAGCTTCATTCCCACCTGGTTCACCCCACCCGGGGCCCAGGCCCCTCCAGCTGCTGCTGGTGACCGATCCCGCAGTAGTACGTGCGCCTCCCGCGTCCACAGTGGCAGACACGCTTCGAAGTGGCTTTCTACCTCTCCTTTCACGGTGCTGCACAGCATGTTCTCCTGCACGGGTGCAGGCGAGACCTTGTTGTAACTTTTCATTATTGAAATCTCTTAACTGTAAGTCTTGGTTAAGAACTGGATCTTACTCCCTTGAACTCTGTGATTAGCTGTCAGTACACAGGACCAAAGCGTGTTATTTAAATAGATAGGAGGTAGTTGGAAAACACCCACTCACCAGTAGTTAATCAGTGAGCTTATACGTTTACTGGCCTGTAAAAAAAAAAAACAAACTAAAAGTAATCGAGCTTGTTATGAAGCCAGAAAGTTAGAGCGGTCCAGTTGTCTTGGGAAACTTTTGGGTCTCTGCAGCAGCTTTCTAAAGTCCGCAGTTTGGTGAGCTGCTTTAAGAAAACCCCTGCTCAAGAAGTTCATAATAAGTGAGAGAGGGAAGCAAAGCGTGAGCCTTTCCCCTCATGCTGCACATGCCGTCGTGACAGTTTCTTCCTTGTCTGTCCTGAGCTGTGGGATGTTTGAACTTTTTCCTTCCTTCTGGTGTTCCTGAATAGATAGAATTTATTTCAGATGATTTCGGTAAGAAGTATTTCACCTATGTAGTATTTCTCCTCAGTAAGATTTTAGTTATTTTTTTTTTGCCTGTAATTATTGTGGCGCTTTAAATGGTGGTGCATCTCAGGGGTGTGGGCAGGGAGGGTGCGAAGCCAGCCCCGGGTCCACGCTGCCTCTGGGTGTAGTTTTGCCCCGCAGCTGACCTTGCAGGCCCAGAGCCATTGACATCAAGCTCTGACTGCTTGTGTTTCCCCTTTACAATTTGGTTGCTACTGCTTGGTGCTCACCCTCCGCAGGGTGCTGGTAAGCTGTTCCAGGAGGGTGCTAATGACTGGTTTCAGGTTTGATGGAGTGAAGATTAGGCGGAGAGGAAGGGCCGTGCAGGGAGCCCGTGGTGAAGCAAAGTGGGGACACTGCCCGCTCCAGGCCAGGGGGATCCGGGCCTGATCTTGTCTCTCTCCTCCTCTGGTTCCTGTAAGCCAGGTGCTGTTCTAGGTGCTGAGCTGTGGGTTGAGCCCAACGGGGGTGGGCAGTTCCTGCCTATGGGGTTCACTCCTTGGGGACCCAGGCCTGTGAATGGGACCCTGAGGCCCCAGGGGCCAGTAAAGCAGTGGAGGAGGCCAGCAGGTGGTGTGGGGCACGGTAGGAGCCTTCTGGCAGAGGAGGCACTGGAGACCCGTGCCCAGTGCCGTCCTCCACGGAGGCCCCAGAGGCCAGGGAGGCTGGGAAGTGGGGAGGACTGCCGGTCCCGGAGCACTTGGGCTGTGCCAGGGATTTAGACGTAATCCCAGGGTGATGGGCGGCCCCAGGAGGCTGCCTGCTGTCCCCCACTTCCTTTCAGAGTTTGAACACAGGAAAGAGGCCATAGGTGTCTCTTCGGAAGCCTCGCTCAGCTGTTAGGTTGTCAGGAGCGTGTGAGGTGCCCGGCCAGCTTAAATGCTTTATGTGTGCCCACTCATTTACTTCTCAGGACAGCCCAGAAGGTGGGTGTACTGCATTAGGGACACCTCGCACAGAGAGGGGGAGCCTCTTACCCAGGGTCACACAGTGAAGGGTGTGTGGGGGCTTGTGCCCTTCCCTCCTCCCAGCAGCAAGCTCTTCCCATCTCTCCTCTGTGGCAGGAAGCCAGGCAGGTCAGTGAGAGCCCCCTGGAGCCAGGTGACGACGCTGGATGACCACGCAGGGCCTCGCTGGGTGGAGGTGTGAGATCAGGTTCCTTGCTGTGTTCCAGCACACGCATGGTGCCAGTGTTTGTAAGCCGCACAGGTATTTTTTTGTCTACTAACAAAAGGAAAATGTTTCCAGTGAGCAGGCGACGCTGTGCTTTCACGTCACTCATGGTAGCGCTCGTTTGTCCTCATGAAAGGAGCTCAGGCTTGGGCACAGACTTTTAGGGTTACGTCACCCTTGCATTTTCATCAGGCAGGGAGATTGGAATGGGATGGAGTCATCGTGACCTTCTCTCACCTTTGGGATCCGATTCTTCCGAGTCAGCTTTCGCCTGGGGTCGATGCTGGTGCGGAGGGTGGGGAGTTGGGAAGGGCAGGGGTTTAGGGTTGGTCAGGGGAGCCTGGGAACGCCCTTGCGGTGGCCTCAGGGGCTCCCCCAAACAGCCTGGGGTGCGGGCTCGAGGCTAGCGTCCCCACTTACTGGGCACATTGCATGGTGGCCCTGTGCCTGTGCCTTCTGTCCACAGGTTGGGTTGCTGAGCGGAAACTTGTGTCTCGGAGTGTTGTGGAGTCGATAAACTGAGTTAAGGCAGGATGCTTAAAATAGTACCTGGCTACCAGGGTTTAGGGAGGTTTGCTTCGCTTTATTGTTTTTGTGATTAGTCATCTGCATGGAGACGTTTGGATACACACGGAGACTCAAGGTCAGGTTCGAGAAGACACTGGGCCAGATATGTAAATCTGGAGTCTCGCGTCTGGCCGGTGTCTGAGGCCACAGGCTGGGCAGAGGACAGATGGTGAGGACACACAGGGACTTCGGCAGGGGGTCTGCTGTGGACAGGGTCTGCTGGAGGAGGAGGGGGTGGGAGGCCTGTTGGCCAGGAGTCCGGGATGCGGGTGGGTGGAGTGTCTCCCCTCAGGCTTGAGGAGGGGCAGGCTGCGGGCAGCGCCAGTGGGGATGTGTGACCCATGGGAATGTTGTCCTGCGGGGACAGCTGAGGAGTCGCGGAGGCCGGCATGTGCACGCACGTTCCTGAGCAGAGAGCGACTGTCAGGAAGGCCCAGGGGAGGAAGGGGAAAGAGGCTCGGAGCGGAGGCCTCCCTTCACTCAAAGCATTTTGTACCAGCCCTTTAAAGGGGGACAGAAAACAAAATGTGACTTAGTGCTCAGCCCAGGAGGTCAGGAAGTGTGCCTGGGAGCGAGGGTCCAGTGTCTCACGGCTGACTGTGCTGGGAATGCTGCTTATTAATTCCTGTCTTTCTGAAGGCGTCCTGAGCGTGAGGAGAGGTTGGCATCCTCATCTACCCAGCCCAGCTCTGCCCAGAGGGCTGAGGCCCGATTGGCCTGCAGACCGTGCTCAGCACAGCCTTCAGACAGTGGCATCTCTTACCCGGGTGAGTCTGGGTTTGGGTGGTTTGTGGCTGTTGGATGCTTTGGATCTGAAGTTTCGAGGTGCCCCCTTCTTCCCTGCGCTCGGGGCACTGAGCTCCGCTCAGGCTGGGCTCTGCCGGCAGCCTGCTCTGCGTGTGTCCTTTGGGAGCCCAGGGACAGGGGCGGGGCTGCCTCTTGGGGTGAGCATTCCCTGAGGGGAGCCTGAGCAGACCTGCACCTGGAAAGTGCTGTCTGCAGGGAGGCTGAGGGGAGGTGGAGGGCGGCCCCGCACAAGGCCTGGCGTCCACAGTCCGGTGCACCCCCGAGAGGGTGACGTCAGGAGGGGCTGCACTGTCCTGGCAGAGGCCGGAGAGGCGTGTGACAGCTGCGGTACAGACGCTTTACGAAAGGATGGAGGAGGGCAGGGGTAGGATGGGCCCTGCTGGCCTTTGTGTAAGGCAGGGCGGAGGTGGTGAGCATAGGAGTGGGCTGTGGGGTTGCTCTGGTGAGGGGGACGGGAAGTGAGGGACTGCGGGGAAACGCTGGCTCAGCTTCTCTGCCGTCCACAACAGTTCCGTGGCTTCTGCGGCCCCGGAGGTGGTGGGATCTGTCCCTGCAAACAGGCAGCTCCAAAGTGGCCATCAGCATGGCGTCCCCTGAGGCAGCTCCATTCTGACGTCTCTCTGGACACACAGGCCCCTCAGGCTGAGGCTTTGTCCCCAAGACGGCCCTGCTTCAGACCCAGTTGCAAGTTTGGGGTTGCCATCACCCCTGCTTGGGCCCCCAGAACCCAGGGAGACACTTCCTGTGTTTGTCGACTTCCATCAGAGGACGCGGAAAGGGTGCACATAAGTGGCCGGATGGAAGAAGCACGGAGTGCAGTGTGGAGGGGCCGAGCCCACACCTCCCCGCTTCCCCCCGCAGCAGGAGAGCTGTGTGCTCCTCCAGCCCAGGCCAGGCAGAGCTCTCCGTGTCCCAGCCCTGTCCCGAGGGCTCTCTGGAGAGAGACTTCATTGCTGGCACAGTTGCTCATGGAGCAGATGGGGCCCTGCAGGGCCTTCCTTTCAGAGCCTCTGGGCTGCTGGGGTGGCTCTTCTCCTGGCTGAAATGGAGCTGCTCTCAGACGTGAGGGCAGAGCAAGGTGGGAGACCGGAGACTCCACCACCGCCTCGGGCAAGACAGGCTACTTCCTGTGGCTACTTCCTGCTTTAGGGAAGACTGACAGCAAGAAGAAAGTGGACAGACACCTGCACATGTGCAGATGACTTTCTCATCCTGTTGCAGGGGCAGGAGGGCTGTGGACCCTGCATCTGACGGCTGACTTGGAGAACAGGGGCCTGGGGTGGAGTCTCCGGCATGGACGTCACTGATGCCGGGTCAGGCACTGGGGTGTGACCTGCAGGGTGATTGTGTGTATTCCAGAGTCTGTGACAGTTCGTGATACAGTGGCCCACGTGTGGAAGCTTCCACTAGGCAGGATGGGTGCCTGTCCGGTCCTCCTGGTGCAGTTCTGACACGGTCCGGTGGAAGGTCTCGCAGGCCCTTCACAGACCAGGAGTCTAAGGCCAAGAGGCTCAGCGATTCCCGAGAAAGCTGGCTGATACTTTGCTCAGTCGTTAGGCGCTGAGCTAAGTAAGTTTACCCTTACTTGATCCTTGCGGTGGTCTCTGTGGCCTCTGCCACAGTCCTGCCATTGCTGCGAAGGCCCTCTTGCGGCTGCATCTTTCTTGCATGCTAGGTCCTGCAGTCCACCCAGCCCAGTCCAGCCTGTAGTGTGCCCGTCACCTCGCTGTCCCGTGGGCCCGGCCTTCCCGTCCCCTCCCCTGCTGCCCACACCCGTCCTGGCCGTGGCTGCCGCTGCCCCAGGCACAGGGCCGGCCCCCTCCGACTCCTTTGCCTGTCTGGTGCCCACCGCCCAGCGACCTCTGTCCCCCACACCCTTCCTCACTGTCCTCTGCCCAGTAGAGTGGGAGCCTCTGGAGGGCAGGGTGGCTCTGGATCCACGCTGGCGGCTTAGCACTGTGAACCCTCGCCGAGTGAGGAACGTCTTACTTCCGTGGGTGGTGAGCGTGGGGCCTGCGTGCGTGGAGCGCTGCTCTGCCTCTGCAACGCACGTGTGCGTTTCTCCTTGCCACGCTGCCCCCCGCTTCCCACCGTTCACGGTGAATCAGTCATATATTTATGCCCCATATGTCTGTGTTATCTCCAGACTTCCTTGCTTTTCTTTGTGGAACAGAAACATTTACAAAACATTTAAAATTGTTATAAAACCACGAAGTACAATACAGTAAATTAATCTGTTAAAACCGGGAGCTCCCATCCCGCGGAAACCCGCCCGGTCCCGCCAGCCTCCTCCTGCCCCTGTGGGGCGGGTATGGTTGCGTGGTTCCCCTCGGCGATGGGCCTGGCCGCGAGGTTAGGGTTAGGACTGCACTTGCTGGCAAAGATGAGGGCGCTTTGAATAATTCTGAGAGGTTTCAGGAAAAAGCAGCCAACGGGGTGGGAAAGATGAATGATTCTGCTGTGGAGGCTTCAAGGCATTAAAAATCAGAGGCAGTGCCGCTCACCAGCTGTTTGGGAGGGGGCAGACGGGAGCGAGCCCCCAAGTTGGGGAGCAGGGCTGGGTCAGCGCTGCACTGGAGGGCACAGCTCCTGGGACGCAAACGGAGCCGGGCTCTCGCAGGGAGGAGTGCCACGTCTGCCCTGCAGCCTCTGGGCACCAGGGTGTGGGCAGTGCTGGCTGTGGAGCCCAGTTGCGGTTCTGGGTGCAGCAGCAGCCACACAGTCCTGTCCTGGTGTCCTGTCACCTCCCCAGCTCTGTGGCTTTGCTAAGAGGTGGAGGAGGAAGGGGACTTAGGGTGCACACGGGCTTGGGGCAGGCTCTGTGGAGGTGGAGTTAGGGAAATGCGGACCCTGGGGCTAGGGTTGCCCCTTTCTGCCCTTGTTGGTGCTCGGGGACTGGGCCGTGTGTCTCTGTCTGGCTTGACCCGGCCTGCAGGCCTGGAGTTGATGTGACTAAGGATGATAGGTTGCTCCTCCTGGTTTAACGTTTCCAAGTTAGGAGCAGAGGTGGTTACAGCTCGACTTCTTCCCTCAGGGGTGACAGTTCAGCCAGTGTGGTAAGCCGGGGCTGCTGCCTGCTCGGGCGAGCCGGCTTCCTTGAGAAGAGGGCTTGTCCAGGGATGTCTGAGGGCTTCCTACCTGGTTGTCCCAGGGCCTTATCCTCCAACCAGGGCCACTGCTGCGGGGCCCTGAGGCCTTTTGTCTGGGTGCCTTCCCTTTTCAGGAGTGGATTCCACCAGTGTAGGATTGGGACCGAGCCTGGCGGCATGAGAGTGAGAGTGAGATGGAATTCTCATTTCTGCCCCGAGGAGCAGGTGCGCGTCTCTGAGGAGTGCCCAGATAGGAAAGGGGTTCCAGAGATGCTGGGGCACCCTACGTGACTCCAGCCCTGCATGAAAGGTGATGGAGAGTGAGTATTGATCTGCGTATCCCTCGGCTAGGCCTGAAGCTGGTCAGGAGGTGGCGTCCTTGGGCTGCCATTGGGGAGTAGAGATTTCTGTGTTGGTGTCGCGCTGCTTCAGTGGGAGTGAAACATTCACATCAAATGCACGTGCATCAGCCTTGTTAATTTTGAAACTGGGGGCCTCAGGGTGGGCAGCTCCCTGAAATGATAGGAAGAGGAACCGTTACCTGCCGCGGATCAGTCAGCTTTGCGTCAGGGTCGCAGTTTGCTTTGGTTAAGTACAGGGCTCTTCTGTGGAATTCTTGAGGGGATTATCTTTTCTTTCATAATACGCGGAGAATTTTTCATTAAAAACCTATCCAAAGTGCTCCAGAGCCTCGCGCAGTAGAGGTTTTGTTCACATTTCCAGTACCAAGAAAGCAGTGGCAAAGCAGGAATCCAGGCAGCGTTCACTGCAGGTTGATGCTGGTTTGGGGGTTGAGATGTGAGCTTTGCAGGAGTGAACCCTGGCATCTCAGAGCCGCTGCCACCTGGACTCCCAGACCCCGACCTAGATTCTACTGCCGCTGAAACCCTGTGAGGAAGACGCCCTTGCATAAAGTCTCGGCTGGCACTCGGATGTGCTCCCAGGAAGACCTCCACCGGAGTCAACTCCTTGGCTGTCCTTGGGCCCTGTGCCTCTGTGTCCCTGGGAGCAGAGACAGCGACTTTCCTCCTGGTTCCCGCCCCCCCCCCCCGCATTCCCTGTGCTGTGTCCCATGTGATGCAGATGAAAGAGCCACATGCTTGGTCACCCCAGGGGTCATGTCTGTCCTTTTGCCTCGTCCTGTGCACCGTGGCATGGGCTGAAGGAGACGTGTGAGGTGGGCCCAGGAGCCCAGCTCAACGAAAGCGAGGCTTTTCCTTCTCTTCTGCAGTGACTTTGAGCCGCGCGAAGGTGCGTGAAAGGTGCACAGGGATTCCCAGGACCCCTCAGCTGCGTGGGAAGTGGGCTGGGCAGTGCTGAGCATCCATGGTTGCACAGGTCTGCTTTGGACAGCGAGAGCCAGGCCTCGCCCTGCCCGGGAGGAAGTCACACGGGTGGTGCTGGGAGAGTTGGGTGTCCTTGTGACTGTGCTTGTGCAGCAATACAGAAGTGAGTGCAGATCCTTGTGGACACATGGAGGTGTCACCTGGCCTCGTCCTGGGGGAGCCTGGGAGCCACAGCCCCAGCAGCAGCAGGGAGACAGCGGGAGGGGAGGACAGGCGCAGGAAGGGCAGGAGTGCAGAGGGAGCCCCCGATGCCCGAGGCAGGAACAGTGGCATCTGCACGGTCCAGCAGGGACCCCCCTGCTGCTGGCATAAACAAACAGCTCAGTAGCAAGAAATAAACAGGGAGAAGGGACTTTCTCTCCGGTGGAAGAACGGGGGCACACTGGCTCACTGCCAGCAGACGCCTCAGGCCCTGTTCAAGGGTCCCAGGGTGCCGTCTCCCTGCCAGAGGTGCTAAGATTGTGGGGTGAAAGTGGGGGAGAAACAGGAGATTCCCCTCATCTCAGCACCTCCGCCCCAACTTGT